GAGCAATTGCATTGTGCATCACTTGCTTTGTATATTCTTTACGATTATTATTATTATTTTCTCTTTCTCTGCTATCCTATTAAACTGCCCTTATCTCAACCCATGGGGTTTACTTCCCCACCCCCGCCCCCCGATTCTCTCCCCCATCCCACCGGGAGGGGGGAAGTTGAGCAAGTGGCTGTGTGGTTCTTAGTTGCCAACTGGGGTTAAACCACAATACGCACCCAAATTTGTAGACAGAAAGAGCTCATGACAGAGTTGCATCCAAGAACAGTCCTCTGAGTACAAGGAAATGCAAGGACACTTCACTGACAGCAGACAGGATTATAGACTACGTTTCTACAGAAGAGGGTAACTACCCATAATAATCAGTGAATCCTGGATTTGGCAAGGTACATAAAAGAAATATTCCAGTTGCGTCCAGCACAGACTTAAGCGTTTCTGCGTATCTTCCCTTCTCCGGGATATGCCGGACCCACTCACAGAGCCCTCCGCAGAGAGCACTGCAGAGAGCACTGTAGGCAGTCTGTGACACTATTTGCATGAGTTTGGGTATCTGCTGCTGTGGGTTTCACCAGTGTGGAGTGCCCCTGGCTCATACAGGGTGACAAATAGCTGAAAAGTATGTACGTCACAACTTACTGTACGTGCTTTCTTTTATTGCAAATTCTTTTAGGCAGGACCCACAGTCACTGGGCAGACGCAGAGAGATGACTTTCTTCTGCAATCTTGCAGATTTCCTAACCAGAAATATCTGTTGTGGAGAAGGCAAAAGGACATGGCTTTAATTTCATCACAGACGCCTTAATAGAGGCAGATGATAGACAAAAGGAACCAGAACAACTTCATGATCTCTGATCTATATAAAACATCTCAGAATTTTACTCTGTCATTACTGTATCAGGTCCAACAGCTTGGTGTAAAATGGCAGCAGAACATTTAGGAAAACATCTCATCCTTGTGTAACAGACACATGACACCAAGTCCATTATGCCCTTCTCGGAGCTCTCCAGTTTAACACGCAGCAAATCCCAAGCCTTGAGTCAAGCTGCAGAGGCTGGAGGAGACTGATGGTGGAGTGCTCCTGTGTCCCACCAGCCCATTCACGCAATCCTTCTGCACCAGGATGGAGGCAGCATTAGAAACATGCCATCGGCCTCATCCAAGCAGACAGGGCCCAGTTTTCATCATAGCAGCTTTAATGCCGGCACCAGTGGAAAATAAAATGCTATAATGTCCCATTTGTTTATTGCTTTCTTGTTATGAAGGAAATACATCTGTTACATACTGTGCTGGTTTTGGCTGGGATAGCATTAATTTTCTCCATAGTGGCTAGTGTGGGGCTACGTTTTGGATTTGTGCTGAAAACAGTGCTGATAATACAGGGATGTTTCAGGTACCGCTGAGCAGTGCTGACACAGAGCCAAGGCCTTTTCTGCTCCTCACCCCACCACAGCAGCGAGCGGGCTGGGGGGCACAAGAAGTTGGGAGGGGACACAGCCGGGACAGCTGACCCCAGCTGACCCAAGGGATATCCCATACCGTATGGTGTCATGCTCAGCATACAAAGCTGGGGAAGAAGGAAGGGGGGGATGTTTGGAGCGATGGCGTTCGTCTCCCCAAGTAACCGTTACGCGTGATGGAGCCCAGCTTTCCTGGAGATGGCTGAGCACCTGCCTGCCGATGGGAAGCAGAGAATGAATTCCTTGTTCTGCTTTGCTTGTGTGCGCAGCTTTTGCTGTACCTATTAAACTGTCCTTATCTCAACCCACGAGTTTTCTCACTTTTACCTTTCTGATTCTCTCCCCCATCCCACCGGGGGTGGGGGGTGAGTGAGCGGCCGCGTGGTGCCTGGTTGCCGGCTGGGGTTAAACCACGACACATGCAACCGCGGTTGGCAAGGTCCAGCTTTGGAGCTGTAATTGCAGCAGTCTAGTTCTCAGCTCCAGAGGACCCCAAACTAATCCCCCAACATATCAGCCCAGGTAATGGGGCACACTCCAACTGGTCCAGCTGCCAAGTGCTCAGGAAGCCCTCACTTGGATTATCCAAAGCACAGAAGAAATGGGTCTGGGGTTTTGGTTGGTTGGTTGGTTTGGGTTTTTTTTTTTTTTTTGTTGTTGTTTGAATTTTCTTT